TGGTACATTTACACAACGGAATACTACACAGCAGAAAGAAAGAGGAGCTCCTACCCTTCACAACAGCCTGCATAGATCTGAAGAGCATTATGCTGAGTGAAATAAGCCAGGTGGTGAAAGACAAATATATGATCTCACCTATAAGTGTAACCTAATCAACAAAACAAACAAGCAAGCAAGACATTGAAATAAAAAACAAACTGACAGTAACCAGAGAGGATGTGGGAGAGGATAATAGGAGTAAAAGGAGGAAGAGCTGTCAGGGAACACGTATAAAGAACACATGGACAAAGCCAAAGGGGGGTAGGATCAAGGGTGGGAGGTGGGGACGGCTGGGGTGGAGGAAGTATGGGGGGAAATGGAGACAACTGTACTTGAATAACAATTAAAACAAAAAACAAAAAAAATGCTACAATAATCCAAGATTCAAGAATGGAGTTGGACCCTGGCTGGTGTAGCTCAGTGGATTGAGCATGGGCCTGTGAAGCAAAGGGTCGCTGGTTTGATTCCCAGTCAGGGCACACGCCTGGGTTGCAGTCCAGGTCCCCCCAGTAGGGGACACATGAGAGGCAACCACACATTGATGTTTCTCTCCCTCTCTCCTTCCCTTCCCCTCTCTCTAAAAAAAAATAAATAAATAAAATATTTAAAAAATAAAATAAAAAGATTCTAAAATTATTTAAAAAAAGAATGGAGTTGGTACTACCAAAATACACAACCTCACAAATTATAGCTTTCCAATCATTTATAAGATTTCTCATATATTCATGTTCTAAATGCCTGACAATTTTAAATCAAGATAATAAACAGCCCTGGATGGCATAGCTCAGTGGACTGAGCGCGGGCCTGTGAACCAAAGGATCACGGTTCGATTCTCAGTCAGAGCACATGCCTGGGTTGCAGGCCAGTTCCCAGCAGGGGACGCACGAGAGGCAACCATACATTGATATTTCTCTCCCTCTCTCCTTCCCTTCCCCTCTAAAGACAAATAAATAAATAAAAAGTTAAAATATATATCTAATAAACAAAAAATACAAATAGAAATTATATCCTTATAGGCATTTAAAAGATGGGAATGACACCTGAAAAGAGTGATTTAAAACTAAACATACAAGAAAAGAAGTTACCTATGAGCACTGGTTTTTAACCAGAAGCAATTTTACTACCCCCACCCTACCCCAGGGCCTTTGGCAATATCTGGAGACATTTTGCACTGTCACAGGGGGAGCAGGGAATGTTACTGATACCTAGTGAGCAGAGGTGATACAGGCCACTAAACATCTCATAACGCACAAGACAGCCTCCCACAGCAAAAATTATCTGGCCCAAAATGTCAACAGTGCCCAGGATGAGAAGCCCTGACTATGAAGATTTAAAGTTTGAATATGCTATCTTCTTATAGTCATTACCTTAAAAACTAACGAAATGAATGATCCTACTAGCAAAACTGATGGTTAGAACTCTGAACAATTTTTTAAATAAAAATAATACATGACAATTTTGATATTTTTTCTACACAAGGAAAAGCATAAAAGTATTAAGCTACAGAAAATACACAAGAAAAACTAATGTTAATTCTATGAAAGTGGAAGCAGAAAAAGATTTTATAAATAAATTATTTGAGAAGAATGTTCCTGCCCTGGTTGGCATAGCTCAGTGGATTGAGCACAGGCTGTGAAGCAAAGGGTTGCAGGCTTGATTCCCAGTCAGGACACATGCGTGGGTTGCAGGCTGGGTCCCCACTGGGGGCCATGTGACAGGCAACCACACATTGATGTTTCTCTCTCTCTCTTTCGCCCTCCCTTCCCCTCTCTAAAAAAAATAATAATTAATTAAATATTTTTAAAAAGAATGTTCCTAAGTGTATTATAACTTAATTAAAATATAGTTTGTTTGAGCAAATTAATATTAATTGTAACAGAATAAACATAAGATCTAATTCATAAAATTAGAATTATGTGCTTATAAATCTTGTTTAAATTCATATTTTAATAAGAACATGATCAACAAAGCCATCTAATTGAATATTATTTGAAAAATGTGTCACTTTGTATTTCAAAAAAAATTTATCTAATCACACAGCTAACCAGGCCGATAAATAAGTCAATTTATTTCTGTCAAATATTTTTTAATATATTTTATTAATACCAAGGCACATCATAATTACATTAGCCAAGATTAAAATGAAGGAAAAAAATCCTAGAAGCAGCAAAAGATAAGAGGACAGTCATCTACAAAGGAGCTCCCATCAGACTGTAAGCTGATTGCTCAAAAGAGACCTTACAGGCAAGAAGGGGCTAGAAAGTATTCCAAGTCATGAAATCCAAAGACCTACATCCAAGATTGGTCTATCCAGCAAAGCTTTCATTTAGAATGGAAGGACAGATAAAGTGCTTCTCAGATAAGGTCAAGTTGAAGGATTTCATCATCACCAAGCCCTTATATAAAATGTTAAAGGGACTTACCTAAGAAAAAGATAAAAAATAGGAACAGTGAAAGGACAGCAAACTCACAGTTATTAACAACCACACCTAAAACATAAGCAAACTAAGAGGACAGCTAGATCAGGAGCAGAACCATAGAAATGGAGATCACATGGAGGGATAGCAACAGGGGAGTGGGAGGAGGAGAAAGGGGGAGAAGATACAGAGAATAAGTAGCATAGACAGTAGGTAGAAAATAGGGGGGAGGGCAAGAATAGTATGGGAAATATAGAATCTAAAGAACTTGTGACACATGGACATAAACTAAAGAGGGGAGAATGGTGGGGGAGGGGTGTGCAGGGTGGAGAAGAATGAAGGGGGGAAATGAGACAACTGTAATGGCATAATCAATAAAATATATTTAAAAATATATTTTGTATTGATTATGCTATTACAGCTGTACCTTTTTCTCCCCTTTATTCCCCTCTGCCCTATAGCCCCCTCTCACCATTCCCCCACCTTAGTTCATGTCCATGGGTCATACCTATAAGTTCTTTGGCTTCTCCATTTCCCATACTATTCTTAACCTCCCCCTGTCTATTTTGCACCTACCATTTATGCTTCTTATTCCCCGTACTTTTCCCCCCATGCTCCTCCCTCTCCCTTCCCACTGATAACCCTCCATGTGATCTCCATTTCTCTGATTCTGTTCCTGTTCTATTTGTTTGCTGGGTTTGTTTTTGTTTTTTAGAGTCAGCTGTTGATAACTGTGAGTTTGTTGTCTTTTTACTATTCATAGTTTTTGATCTTCTATTTCTTAGATATGTTCCTTTAGCATTTCATATAACATTTCATATAATAAGAACTTGGTGATGATGAACTCCTTTAACTTGACCATTTTATCTACCCTTCCATTCTAAATGGTAGCTTTGCTGGATAGACTAATCTGGGATGTAGGTCCTTGCCTTTCATGACTTTGAATACTTTCATTCCAGCCCCTTCTTGCCTTTAAGGTTTCTTTTGAGAAATCAGCTGAGAGTCTTAGGGGCACTCCTTTGTAGGTGACTGTCTCCTTTTCTCTTGCTGCTTTTAAGATTCTCTCCTTATCTTTAATCTTGGGTAATAGAATTATGATGTACCTTGGTGTATGCTTCCTTGGGTCCAACTTTTTTGGGACACTCTGGGTTTCCTGGACTTCCTGGAAGTCTTTTTCCTTTGCCAGCTTGGGGAAATTCTCCTTCATTATGTTTTCAAAGAAGTTTCTAATTTCTTGCTCTTCCTCTTCTCCATCTGGCACCCCTGTGATTCACATGTTGGAATGTTTAAAGATGTCCTGGAAGTTTCTAAGCCTCTCCTCATTTTTTTGAATTCTTGTTTCTTATTCTGTTCTGGTTGAATGTTTACTTCTTCCTTCTGCTTCAAACCATTGGTATGAGTTCCAGTTTCCTTCCCTTCACTGTTGGTTCCCTGTACATTTTCCTTTATTTCACTTTTCATAGCCTTCACTTTTTCCTCTATTTTGTGACCATACTCAACCATTTCTGTGAGCATCCTGATTACCAGTGTTTTGAACTCTGCATCTGATAGGTTGGCTATCTCTTCATTGTTTAGTTGTATTTTTTCTGAAGCTTTGATCTGCTCTTTCATTTGGACCATATTTTTTTGTCTCCACATACCTCTTACATAGTAAGGGATGGAGCCTTAGGTACTCACCAGGGCAGGACAACCCACGTCACTGCATTGTGGTGTGGTATGTGGGGGAGGGGTCAGAGAGGGAACAATGCTGCTTGCTCAGCTCTTTGCCAACTTTCAGTCACTTCCCCTGCTACCCACAAGCAAACTGGGCCCTTCTGGTGCTGATTCTCAGGTAGGTGGAGTTATGAATGTTCTAGGACACTGTGGGTCTCTCCAACAGACTCTCCTGTGAGGCTGGGAGTTTCTCCTGCAACCCCCACAGGTTTTTACAGCCAGAAGTTTAGAGGCTTTATTTCCCCACTCTGGAACCCTGGGTTGTGTGGTCTGTCTCTCTCCCAGTTGTTTCTCCCGGTTTATCCACACACAAATGTGGGACCACATGGTCTGCCAGCCGCCACCTTGCCGTGAGTCTTCTTCACCCGGCTGCCCATCTCTGCCCCTCCTACCAGTCTAGATGAATGTTTCTTCATTAACTCCTTGGTTGTTGGACTTCCACACAGTTCAATTTTCTGGCAATTCTGGTTATTTTTTTGTTTTCAAATTTGCTCTTGTCCTTCTTTTGGTTGTGTGAGGAGGCAAAGTATATCTACCTACACCTCCATCTTGGCTGGAAGTGCTACTTTTGTCAAATATTTGAAGGACAAGATATTATATGTTCTAATAAGATTTTCCAAAATAAGCTTTGCAGCTATGACTGTATTCTATCCTTAAAAAAAAAAAACTATTCTAATATTGCTGAGGCAGAGACTAGTACAGTTTTGTAAAGAAAGAAATGAGTGTGGCCACTGTAAAAGATTAACAGATGAATAGTAAAAACTGTTTTCATATCAAACACACTAGGCAGCTTCCTACATTAGAAAAGATAATAAAATTATTCATTACCTTTACATTTGGCTTCTTTGTTGAAACTCCTCTGTACCAACCTAAAAGAAATCATACAGAGAATATTAAAATCATACTGTTATCATTTTCAATAACACATAAAATAAGTATTGTTAGAACAAAATTAATGCAAAACTTTCTAATAGGGCATATTAACAGTGCCTTCATTAGTGGTAGTCGACTCCAAAAGGAACAGTCTTACAATAAATACAACGCTCCCAATTTTCATCACAAAGCCCTAGTCCATCTATGCTGTCACAAAAGGTAAGATTTCCTTCTTTTTATGGCTGAGTAGTATTCCATTGTGTAAATGTACCAGAACTTTTTTATTTACTGGTCTACTGATGGGCACTTGTGCTGCTTCCAAATCTTGGTCATTGTAAATAACTGCAATGAACATAGGAGTGCTTATATTCTTTCGAATTAGTGTTTAGGATTTCTTTGGATATATTCCCAGATGTGAAGTAGCTGGGTCATAAGGCAGTTCCATTTTTAACTTTTTGAGGTAACTCCAAAGTGCTTTCCATAGTAGCTGCACCAACAGTCTGCATTCCCACCAACAGTGCAGGAGGGTTCCCTTTTCTCCACATTCTCGCCAGTGCTTATTTGTTGATTTCTTAATGAGAGCCATTCTGAAAGGTGTAAGATGATTCTCATTGTGATTTTTATTTGCATTTCTCTGATGATTAGTAATGTTGACCATCTTTTTATATGTCTATTAATAACCTTGATAGGAATTGTGTTGAATCTACAGATTGCTTTGGGTAGTACGGACATTTTAATGATGTTAATTCTTCCTATCCAGAGTATTATGCTAAGTGAAATAAGCCAGTCAGAGAAAGACAAATACCATATGATTTCACATATATGTGGAATCTAGTGAACAAAAAAATAAACTAGCAAACAAGACAGAAACAGACTCATAGATATAAAGAACAGACTGACAGCTGTCACAGGGGAGAAGGGTTGGGGCCTGGAAAAAAAGGTGAAAAGTTAAGAAAAAAACTCATAGACATCTGCAATATTATGCTGATTACCAGAGGAAAAGAACAGTGCAGGGAGGCAGAAGAGAAATGGAGGACAGCCCTGGCTGGTATGGCTCAGTGGACTGAGTGCTAGCCTGGGAACCAAAGGGTCATCTGTTCAATTCCCAGGCAGGGCACATGCCTGGCTTGCAGGTCCCCAGTAAGAGGTGCACTAGAGGCAACCACACATTAATGTTTCTCTGCCTCTCTTTCTCCCTCCCTTCCCCTATGTCAAATACATACATACATACATACATACATAAATACATAGAAAGGGAGAAAGAAATGGGGGATAAACAGTGATAGAAGGAGACGTGACTTTGGGTGGTAAACACACAATATACAGATGATATATTATAGAACTGTATGTACATTTGAAACCTATATACTTCTATTAACCAATGTCACCCCAATGAATTCCATAAAAATTTTATTAAAAGAACTTGTTAAAAAAAAGGAAGAAAAAGCAGCACAAAGCCCTTTTGACTGAATAGGATACAAAAAATCCAAAAAGACCTCAGAGGACATATAATCTAATTCCATGAAACTTCCCAGATGAAAATGCTGGGGTAGGAAAATGCCAAAATCACAGCTTTTTTGGTGGTTGGTAGGCAGTATAGCCCAGACTTCTGTTTCTTCGTTTTATTCAATCTCCAATGTACTAAACTACATTACTCTCATTTCTTGGCTCTCCAGTTGCTAAAATGGACATCTGTTCATTCATTCCCTCTTAGCATTCATACATAGTAACAATAATAATGAAAGTTTCAATTACACAATAAAAACAAGTTTAAGAGAAAAGAAATTTCATTACCAATTTTTCTCAATTCCAAGCTATTATTTTCATAGTTTTGCCATAATTTCTCTACTTGGGTTTAAGAGAAAACAGTTCCAACGAGTAGGAAGTGAAGCCAAGAGTTTTATTTAAAGGAGAAAAATGAAGAGGAGAGCTATTGATAAAAAGCTAATATTAAATGAGAGCTTATTACTCTTAATTCCATGTACTGGAACTAGAAGTTTTTTCCATGTGTTAATCTTTAAATCTCACAACAAAACTATGAGAAAAAGAATAAAATTTTTCTCCCCTGAAACAATAAACAATTAGATACTGTATTTTGCCATGTATGATGTGCACCCACATTTTTGTGTGCATTATACATGGACTATTATACCCACTGCATGCATTCATTTTACCCACATATAATGTACATCCTTTATTTTTCCCTCAAAAATTTGGGCAAAACAAAGTGTGCATTATACACAGCAAAATACGGTAATATCATTGCTTCTCTTTAGCAAAACAGCTGAGATTGAGTAACTAGATTTATACCTTGACAAATACACCTTTATTCATTAAAAAGAAAAAAGTGATAACCTTACCAACATGACACTTCACAGTATCTTAAAAAACAGATTAGAGAATGACAATAACAGATACATGGCAAAGTAAGGCTCTCTGAAATGCTCCTCCTCAATAAAAGCAACAAAATCACTGGCAAAAACTGTCAAAGTCAACTTTTTTAGAACTCTGGAAATAATCCAAAGAGCATTTATTCAAGAAATCTTAATAATGTTAAGAACAATGCCTTTTTAACTTGCCCTAACCCATCTCCCTCTCCACAGCCCTATGATGAACTTGAAAACCAGAAGCCCTGCAGCATTCACATTGCAAATCAGAACATGAGCAGTCCCCAAAGAAGATGGAACAGGGAAAACCAAAGAAGACCTAAGTAATAGAAGAGGCTTACCATGTTCACAAACTGCAAAACTCAGTGTCGTTAAAATGTTAATTATCCCCCAAATTGATCTATAGAGTCAACACAATCCTAATCAAAATCCCAGCAAAAATTTTAGCATTAACTTGCAGGGGCAAGAATAGTAAAATTTCACTACCAGAATAGTGAAAACAATTTTGAAAAGAAATATGTGAATGATTCACACTATCTTACTGATTTCAAGACTTAATATAAACCCACTATAATCTAGATAGTGTGGTACTGGCTAAAAGATAGACACACAGATCAATGAAATAGGTAAGAAAATCCAGAAATAAACCCACACATAAATTAACAATTAATTTTTCACAAAGGTGAAAAGGCACTTCAATGGAAGAATGATAGGTCTTTTCAACAAATAGTGCTGAAACGACTGTTTTTTATTTTATCGTATTATTTTACTTTTAATATTTTCTTGTTTGTGCTGTTACAAGTTGTGCCAATTTTCCCCTTTTACCATTTTTTCCCCTTTGCCCCCTCCCCCAGCTCTCCCACCCTCCCTCAGGTAATTGCAGGGCTGGAACAACCGGAGATAGGTATCTAAAAAACAAAAAAGAACCTGAAACCATACCTTGCATTATAAACAAATTACCTCAAAATGTATCCGAGACAAATATAAATCTAAAAGTTTAAAACTTGTGCAAGAACACTATTTTATCCAGTAGAAATCAAAAGTTAAACCTATTTTAATGTTTATAACAACTTTATTCATAATCTTCAAAAAGAAAGCAATTCAAATGTCCATCAACTACTGCATGGACAAATAAAATATGGTTTTAACCTATATGATGAAATACCACTCAGAAAGAACAAACTACAGATACATACAACATGAACAGATTTCAAATGTATTATGCTAAGTGAAAGAAGACAGACACGAAAGACTATATATGCCATATACAATTCCATTTACAGGATATTCTGAAGAAACAAAAAACTAGGGAGACAGAAAATACATCAGTGGTTACCAGGGCAAAGGGAAGGAAGTTGGAAAGGAAGGTTGACTATACAAGAAGCATAATGTTACTTTGCAGGTGACGAAAATGTTCTATACCTGGACTGTGGTACTGGTTACAAGATTGTGCATTTAAAATTCAAAAAATTCAAAATTCAAAAAGTTCATTGAACTGTACTCCAAAGAGGGTAACCAAATAACCTGGCTAAGACGCACACACACACACACACTGATAACATTTAATTTCTACCACAATGATTATAATTTTTTACTTCTAGCACATTGATTATAATTTTTATTTTTAAATTCTAACAGCATTGAGTGTTGGCAAGAGAATGTAGAGAAACCAAGATGTGGCCAGTGAGGGTGTAAGTGGTCCCCACTTTCAAAACTAGTGCTGTGCTGTCTGCACATCGTATGGCACTGAATTTCTGCTGCCGTGTGTTCTCCCTCATACCACAGCACTGAACTGACAGTATTACCACACTCTAGAGGGGTATTTGAAAATCTATGGGGCAGTCTGAGTTGCCAAAGGGGACATTAAAAATATTTATATTTCCAAAAGGCAATGATGCATAGAAGAAAACATAGGTGTAAATATTCGTGGGCTTGGGTTAATAGTTCCACATGCAAGCAACAATGGAAAAACACAGATAAATCTGAATGCATCAAAATTAAAAGCTTTTGTGCTTCAAAGGACACCAATAAAGTGAAAATACAACCCAAAGACTGGAAGAAAATATATGCAAATCATACACCCAGAATACATAAAGAACTCATACAATTAAATGAAAAGATAGTCTAATATTTAACGGGCTAAGAAATTTTTTTTTAATTTTAAAATTTTAATTCTCACCTGAGGATAGGGGTTTTTTTGGTTTTGTTTTTGTTTTTTTAATTATTTATTTATTTATCTTTAGAGGGGAAGGGAAGGAGAGAGGGAGAGAAATATCAATGTATGGTTGCCCCTCGTGCGTCCCCTTGCTGGGAACTGGCCTGCAACCCAGGCATGTGCCCTGACTGGGAATCAAACCGTGATCCTCTGGTTCACAGGCCCGTGCTCAATCACTGAGCTACACCAGCCAGGACGGTTTTTTTATTTTAAAGAGGGAGGGAGGAACTTGCAAACTGTTTTTCAAAGTTAGTGCTTTGAAAAAGGACTGGAGGGAGGGAGGGAGGGAAGGACGGAGGGAGGGAGGGAAAACATCAATCACTTGCCTCCTGGACACCCCACAACCATTGATTGAACCTGCAACCTAGGTGTGTGCCCTAACCAGGGATGGAAC